AACAAGACTTGCAACAACAATTTGATGAAATCATAGCAGAACTTACCGGTGCTAATCAAGGAGGAGAAATGGAAGCTCAGCAGGTTCAACAACCACTCTCTAAAAGTTAATAGCAGAATTGGAAGAATATTATTTACTGTCAAATTTTTCTTGATTTTCTTTTAGAAATTAGAGAATTTATGGCTTTTTGTTCTTCCCAAACAAAAACAATTATAATTGCTTAAAAATGAAAATCGTTGTAAAAATATCTACATAAATGGATACAAAAAAAATCAAAGATACTCTTTTTTTACCCAAAACTGATTTTCCTCTGAAAAATATTAACCACCAAACAACTGAAACTAAAATTCGCCAAAAATGAAAAAACCAGCAAATTTATCAAAAAATATTAGAAAAAAATAAAAATAATCCGTCTTTTATTCTCCACTCTGGTCCACCTTACGCTAACGGTAAACTTCATATTGGACATTTTTTAAACTTTATAATTAAAGACATTATTATCCGTTTTCAGGCTAACCAGGGAAAACATACTCCTTTTTTGTTGGGTTGAGATACTCATGGATTGCCAATTGAGCACAAAATGATTCAAGCCCAGCCAGACCAAAAAATAAACCTACGCCAAATTTGTCATGATTTTGCTTTAACGCAAGTCCAAATCCAAAAAGAGCAGTTAAAAAAAATAGGACTCTTTACTGATTTTGAAAAATATTACATTACCCTAGATAAAGAATACGAAGCCGAGCAAATCCGAGTTTTTGGCGAAATGGTAAAAAAAGGGTTGATTTATCGTGGTTTTCGGCCCATTCACTGGTCGTGGAGCCATGAAACAGCCTTAGCCGAAAATGAAATAGAATACTTAGAAAAAAAAGACACTTCTCTATATTTTAAAATCAAGTTAGTAGAAAATTCCAAATTTTCAGGAGAAGAAAACATTAATTTGTTAGTTTGAACAACTCAGCCTTGGACTATTCCGGCTAACGAATTAGTGGCAGTAAAAAAAAATGCTAACTATTCTTTGGTTGAATATAATGGCGAATACCTGATAATTCTCGAAAAAATGGTTGATATGCTAAAATCATGAGGACATTCAATAAATATAAAAAGAATATTTTCAGGAGAAGAAATATTAGGACTTCATTATATTCATCCTTATAGAAAAAATGATGAATCATCGTATATTGTAGATGGAGACGAATTTATCAGAGAAAACGAGGGTACTGGTCTCGTTCATCTTGCTCCTGCTTTTGGTGCCGAAGATTTTAACTTGGCTAAAAAAGAAAAGATAATTTCAGAAATTAGTTGTCCGCTTGAGCCTAGTGGGTATTTTAATGAAAAAATTAAAGTTTCAGAGTTCATTGGTAAACATTATACAGAAGTTAATGATTTGGTTATTGCTGACTTAGAAAAAAAGAATTTAATAATAAAAAAAAAAGAAACCATTCATAGTTATCCCCATGATTGAAGAGACAAAGCTCCTTTAATTTACCGCTTAACCGAACAATGATTTATTAATGTTCAATTAATTAAGCCAAATTTATTAAAAAATATTGAAAAAGTAAAATGGTATCCACATTGAACCAAAGAAAAAATGAAACAAGCAATTAGTAGCCGAGAAGATTGATGTATTTCACGCCAAAGAAAATGAGGAGTTCCGGTTCCTGTCTTATACAAACAAGGAGAGCCGATACTTAATGATAAAGTCATTGATTACATTGCCGATTTAATAACTAAACATGGTTCAGATTGTTGATTTGATGGCACTATTTTACCATTTTTGTACGAAAAATTTCCTTATTTGGATATGGCAGAATTAGGAAAAGACACTATGGATGTTTGATTAGATAGTGGCGTTTCTCATTGGTGTATTCTACAAAAAGAAAATTTATAATAGAGAGAGAGAGAGAGAGAGAGTAAAAAATACTAAAAACTAATAATATGAACCTGAGCGATCAAATCAATAAAATCAAAATTGCCTTATTCGGTAATGTCTGAGTTGTCAGACTAGTAAAATTATTACGTTATTTAAGTGTTATATTAGTTGGCTGGTTAATTAGTAAATCAGAATATTTATTTCCTGGGGATTCTAATCCTTGAACTACTTTTAAGTCAATTTGAAGATGAGAAGACAGAAAATTTGATGAGTTAATGGTTGGGATCTCCGTCTTCGCTTTTTTTTGTTTTTTAATGTTTGTTTTTTTTTATCTTTCCGGTCTATTAGTTGAATGACTAGTAAGAGTTAATGTTTCTCCGCGTCAACAGATTCAAGTAATTGAAAAAAAACTCTATTCGATAGACGAAAAAACTAACTACACCGTAGAAAAAATTGATAATTTAGAAAGCACAGTTTTTCGAGGCTCTTCTTGTGTAGCATTAAAAGGAACTTTATCATTAAAAGATGGGAAAAAAAAGAAATCTATTGATTTTATCTGTTATTCTCATTCCAGTATTGTTGACCCTTATCTTTCTCCGAATGCTTTGGAAAATTATTTTCCTCAAACAGATATTAAATTTAAGCAAAAGACTTTCTTTACTTGGCAAAAAATCCTTTTTGTTTTTCTTTCACTGGGGACGGTGCTCTTTTTATTCAGAACTTATAAAGACATTCAAGCACATCCTGAACACTCAGCGGGTAGGGTAATAAAAGGAAAAAACGCTATTCAAAAAGAAATTGCTAAAGAACAGCAACAAAAAGACAAAAAAAAGAGAGAAGCTGAACAGCGTCGAGAGGCAAAAATTACTTCTCCGGATGAAATTGTGCATGGTTTTGAATCAATTGGTGGACTAAAAGAAGCAGTGAGAGAATGCAAAGACATTGCCCAAACAATTTGAGAAAGAAACAATGATCCTAATAGTTTATTTGAACCAGAACACGTTATCCTTTATGGTCCGCCAGGCACTGGAAAGACTTTTTTAGCTCAATCTATTGCCAAAGATTCGGGTTCTTTTTTTCTTAACTTAAACGGAGCAGATTTTGAAACTAGTTTGGCTGAAGCATTTGGCAATAAAGAAGGTCCAAGTTCCGGTGATAAACTTATGAAAATCTTTGATATTGCTCTTGAATGAGCTAAGGACGAAAAAGGTAATCCAAAAACAATCGTGGCCTTGATTGATGAAATTGACCGAATGGGTGGCGGCTTAGACAGCAGTCAAGGGATGGCCTCATTCCTGGGGATATTGAGCGGTACACAACAAGAAAAATATAAAAGAATTAAAATCGTTGCTACTACTAATCACATTTGAGCACTTCCTGATGCCTTGCTTCGTCAAGGAAGAATAGGTGTAAAACTACTAGTTAACTATCCAAATAAAAAAGAACTTTACGAAATTATAACTAAAGTTTTGAAAAAATTTCATATTGATAATGTCAAAAAAACTGGCGGGTACGAAGCATTCGGTAATTTAGAAAGAGAAGCCTTTGCTAATAAATTTGCCAAGCCGGTGCATGAAATAATGATTAGCAATGACTTTTCTGTTTCTTATAAAGATTTAATGGAGAATTATCTACCAGCTGGCGTTGATCCTAATGATAGGAGAACGCTTTTTACAGGTGCCGATGTCGAAGCAATTTTATATCGTTCGTTAATAATTATGAAGAGGAGAGGAAGCAAAACTTTAACTATCGACCATATTCGCCAAGCGACGAGAGATATCTACAAATATAACCTTGCTAATTGAGGTTGAAGAAGAAGGGCTCGAGACTTTATAGGACTGGAACTCAGAAATGAGTTTACTGAAGAAGACTGGAGACAATTTAGTGAGCAGCAAATGGGAGGTGGCGGATCATCAGGACCAAAAAAATAGGCAGTTAAAATTATAAATCGAAAAGTTTGGAACAGGCGTAGTTCAACGGCAGAACATCGGCCTTCAGATCCGAGAATGTGGGTTCGATTCCTATCGCCTGTGCCATAAAACTATAAATATAAAGCTCAGAAACCATGCCAAATATCAATTCCCTCTACGAACTAATCAAACAAAAATCCCAAGAAAAAGACAGGCCATTAAAAATTATTTGTGATTGAGATGAAGTTTTATCACCTTTTCGTCCTATGGCAATTTATAAGTTTGGTCAAAAACATGGTCTTTGGCTTGACATTTCTTTTCCCGACTTTTTTAAAGATTTCTGGGAAAAAGTGGTTGTAGCGTCAGGAAGTATTGATAGCAATAAAGACATCAAATATCTTGGAAATGACAAAAAAGAAGAAGCTCTTATCAAAGATTTCATGAAATTGAAAAAAGAAAGACGTAAAGAAAGAGAAAAAGGAACCGATAAGCATTCAGAGTTGGATAGTTTACTAGGTTCACCTTTTCTCTCATTCTCCAATGAACTTTTGCAGTGTTTAAAAGAGGATTTAATTAGCGAGTTGATAATTATTTCTTCTACTCATGCCACAGGTTCCAAGATGTCTTCAAACGAAAAGTATAAAAGAAAACGATTTTCTGAAACTTTTGGAAAACTGCCAAATTGTAGAATAGAAATTTTAAAAATCAAAAAGGTAAATGGACAAAATTCTCCGCATCGTTGAGAAAGTATTCGTGACAAGTTTTTTGATTTTGATATTTTTATTGATGATAATGCTCTTATAATCTCTCAAACTCAAAAAACACAACCCGCTGATAAAACTTTTGTTCTTCCAGATTATAAAATGAGTAGGCACGTTCAGGCTCCTAATATCTACCATATTAAAAACACAGTTAGCGATATCACTGATAGAGATTTTGCTTTGGTAGCATTGGAAAAAAAATCTAAAAAGACTAAAAAAAAAGCTAGAAAAACAGAACAAGAAACAAGGGACAATCAGAAAAATACAAGAGAGAGAGAGAGAGAGAGAGAGAGAGAGAGCGTTTGAAAGCAACCTTATCTTTATTTAGCTTTTGCGGGAGGATTTATGATAACAAGTTTAATTTTTTTAGTTTACTATCTGTTTAGAAAAAGAACCGTGAAAGGAAAACAGTAAATATTACAAAAAAAGAATATAATTTAATTATTGGTCGTCATTGTTTAGTAAAAAATCCTAACTATCTTTTAGGAGCTGTCAAAGAAGCAATTAGTTATGAAGCTAATGCTCTAATGATTTATTTAGGAGCTCCTCAAAATAGCTTTCGTCAACCTTTAAATGTTTT